TTTTTTTTCAAGCATTTCATTTTATTTGCATTGTATATAAAGTCCGCTGAAGCAATTTAGTTGTATCTGATTAATTTACGTGAAATATAATATCCTCTGCACAAATTATTGCTTTTTTTATTGTGTTATTTTATTGCAATTAAAGTTGAGATAATTTTTTAGTTAATTGGATTTAACCAAAATAAAAAACAAAAATCAACGTTGAATTTACGTTGTTTCAACGTTGTTCTAACGTCTTATCAACTACGTATCAATCGAATATATCACCTATTCAAAGTTGAAATATGGTTGATATGTAGTCGATAAGACGTTAGATCAACGTTGAAACGACGTATTCATCGACGTTGTTTCAACGTCGTAGTTTTCGACGTCGGATTTTATTTCCAATTCAACCAAATTTCAACGTTGTTTCAGCGTGGCATATGGTCGGTTTGCGACGTTGTTTCAACGTTATTTCAACGTCATTGTGCCTGCTCGGCAGATATGGAATAAAATGATTCTGCTTTTACCCTCCAGCGTGTTGGGCAGAGTATACGATTACCGGGTGTCTCACGGAAAAATTGTTTTTACCTGTTTGAAAAGGCATTCACGTTTGGGAGATTTTTAAATAATTTGTCTAAAAATATTTATAAATTTATGAAACTTAAAACTTTAAATAAAAAAAGGATAATGTAAATTTGTTATTAAAAAATCGCCTTACATGAGCAAAATGAAGTTGTAGCAAGTTCAACACCACAAAGTAACAAGTTCTATACAACGAGTTCTATTTTTTTATTCAAAAGGTAACGTAAAATCTACAATTATTTACTAAAGTTTAAAATTATTTGTTGCATTTTTATTTTTAATATTCGTTTAACTGTGAAATATTTGTATGTAGTTGTTTTGCAATTGAAGAAATTAACTATAGATATTTAAAAAACGAAGGTTTTATAAATGTTTTGAAATTGTTTATAAAAATATTATCATTGACGCAACAAAACAAAAAGTGGTGGGGGGCTATAAATAGCCTCCCCCAAGCCCCTACTTGTCTACGGCCATGATATATATATACAAATAGTATTGCATACTAAGGTAAGCAATCTGACATCATACTGAAACAGCCTGCTGCTGGGGGCTTCAGTAAATCGACTGACAAATAGTCTTATGGACAAGAAATGAGACGTCTTATTGACGTCCTTAGGACGTCAAAATGCCCGCTTGGAAGTTTTCACATATTTCAAAACTGAAAAATATTGCTTAGAATTTATTACGTAAAGCGTTATTTCAACTACATTAAAAATGAAATATTAATTAAAGGACAACAACATGTTTTATATTTTCATGCGTAGATGATTTAAAGACCCATTAGAGTAAAAGTTTTCAAAGTAATGACAAACGATCGTTAGCAGATTTGTATTTGGTTTCCGTTACACGGTGTCAACAATCTTCTAATTGCCGATTTGCAAGAGCAGTTAGTCTATAAATTACGTCACGCAATTTTTGTTTGTTTTTGACCTACCCCCCACCCACCCTCTCGTTACAAAATCGTAACACTTTAGTAGTAAGTTTTGTATGAGTCGTCACAAAACCACTTTTGTTTTATTACATTGGTTATGAAAGTTAACATTGAAAGTGAAAATTCGCATCATTGAATTCCTATAAATTAAAATTGCAAACCATTTATTTATCGAAAAAAAATTGCAAATCATTTCGCAGCCTCATTATCCTAGGAGACAAAACAGCTTAATTTTCTGTACTTAAGGAAATAAAATTCGGTATACAGAAAAATATTTGGTTTTTGCAGTATTCCAAGATCTAATAGTTCATTGAAGCTTACTACATCTTGTTTTCAGTTAAAAGAATAAAAAATCAAATTTGGTTGAAAATAAAAGAGACCAACAATTATAATATGTCAAGTCTTGTCAACAAATTTTGAAAGAAATAATTTATAAAACAGTTTTTAAATGAATGAGTAATATTTGATGATTTTAGGTCCATGCTATTTAAAATTTATACTGGGACTTTGATAAAATACTTTGACGAGAGAGTTTCCAATCCTGATCAATCATATATTTAAGTTCTGCCATACAAAAAATAGGTCTTGGAATTTATTTTGAGCAATCGGTAGAAAATCTTCACTGTCTTTTCAACGCTGAATCATTAATCCGTTGCAAAGTCTATAATAACAAATTGAAACATGGAAACAATTTACATAGGAATTTTGTTCTTATAAAAAAAAACATCTTGTTTCTCTTGATTATTGAACGAAAAGTTTAATACATTCAGTTAGGCCTGGTTTTCTACTAGGCTAACGAGACCGTGTTCTAGGGTTGCTTGATTTTACTGATGCCAGGAGGTTACAACGTATTGCCTATGTCCCATGCAGTTTATAAAACAGTCCTGCATTCTGCGATTCGAGCGATAAATAAATTATTTACAACCCGGTAGGAAATCGGCTAGCAAATAGCTAGCTATAATCGTAACGATAAAGGTAGCGATATGGCCACGAGGATCGCTAGCTTTTTAAGTTAGCGAAAAGCTATCGATATTTGTAAAGATAAAGGACGGCGATTTGGCTACGAGGGCAGGTAACTTAATAAGCTAAAAATCTGGCTATTGTAGCTTAAGTTATACCGTAATAAAATTGCTGTCTAAAAAATTTTGATATGTAGCTACCAACCGGCTATAGATTTGTAGATATTTTGAAGCTAGCTACAAAGCTACGATATGTAGCTAGCGACACTACAAAATCGCAATGTTTAAAGTTCAATTATTCTCATAATTATAATGGACTCAACACTAAAAATCGAATTTTTAAAGATGTTAAAGACATTAGGAAAAAATATAATAAAAAAAAAATCGCTTGAAAAGCGCTATAAAGCTAGCAAGTCGTTCGCTTGTCCCTAGCTCTTTTCCCACCGGGAATTTTATTTTTGAAATTTTGTTTTAATAATTTAAAGGAATGTAATGATGTGAATTTTCAATTTCAATAAAAATTTCATTACCAATTTAATAAAACAAAATACCTTTTGTATTTTCTTTTCTTTTAAATTTTCTGTAATTTTTAATAGAAGTTGAAAGTAAATTTTTGAAAAAAAAGGCGCGAAACAAATGCAAGAAAAAGCGTAACTACAAAAAAAGTGCAAAATAGTACAAAAGGTGTCATAAATACTTAATAGGAGTTTTTTGATTTGGCGAACTATATACAAAGTGATAAGTAAACTATACTTTTTCAGAAAACTTTGAAATTAAATTGGACACGTGTGGACATTTGTGCGCGTGTTTTTAAATTAACTATCATAGTTAGTAAAACCGTGTATAAATAAAAACAAGAAAATTATAAAAATAACAAGAAAATTATAAAAATAACAGGAAAATTATAAAAATAACAAGAAAATTATATAAATAACAAGAAAATTATAAAAATAACAAGAAAATTTATAAGGCTAACAAATATTGAAAGTTTTTTGCGAGTGGTTTCTATCGGTTTGTTTGAAACGACGTCTTTGCGCTAAACTTGTATTAAATTTAATTTATAAGAAAACAAGCATATGAATCATAGGTCTATATATTTCATCCTATTAACCATCTAATTATTACAAAAATGGACACTCCATTTATAACTAAGCTCTTGAATAAAAACTAATTATTAAAAAATAAAATTCTATATGTAAAATAATTTTTTTAAACATAAAATTTGGTAAAAAACATTGGCATTAAACAATCCCAAAAAATATTTTAAAAAAACTATGAAATATAAGTAATATAATTAGTAAACATAAAAGACAAATTCTTCTTAGAATGTGCTGCTATTAAAATAATTTCAAATTGGCTTGTAGTTGGAGGTTGTATTAATGCAAAACATAATCCAGATTGCATACTATTTTAATATGTAATGAGGTTATAGTAACTAACTTTTAAATACACGAACGAAAAAAACCCAAATAAAAACATTAAACAAAGTTATAAAAGTAAAAATATAAATTAATATAAACAAATACGAAAATCTCATAACAAAAAGATAAAATTTATCTTTTACTTCATTTATAAAAAAAATTCTACAAATTGCCTTTCGTGTGTTAAGTCAATAAGTTTTTCAAAAATATTTTCGCTCAACAGTTCTTTTAGTTGTAGTTTTTATTCTTAAAAACAATTTCAAAGAGTCACGTGTCAAGTGCCACGTGTCAAGATTTTAAAAGAAGTCCAATCTGGAAAACTCTTTGCAGACGTCATGTCCTACTTGAATTAGGAGTTTAGTATAAACGGGAGAAGTGGGAAAGTGTATAGAAGTGGGAGAGTGTGTAGAAGTGGGAGAGTGTGTGGAAGTAGGAGAGTGTGTAGAAATGGAAGAGCGTGTAGAAGTGGTAGAGTGTGTAGAAGTAGGAGAGTGTGTAGAAGTAGGAGAATGTGTAGAAGTGGGAGAGCGTGTAGAAGCAATTTATTTCAAAAACTGTCAACAGAAAACTATTTCTTGTTCCAGAAAATATCTTTTTAAATTAAAAGTGTTGTAGTCAATTGAAATTTGGTATTTTAACTAGACTTTTTTAATCCTCAGGTTGATGCAACAACTACAGACAATGGTTCAAACTAAGTTTGTTATTATATCTCCCATAAGTGTAGCACAGCGAATGATACAACAGATAAGTATAACACAGTGGATGAAACAACAGATGAGTATAGCACAGTGGACGATACAACAGATGAGTATAGCACAATGGACGATACAAAATATAGCACAGTGGACAATACAACATATGAGTATAGCATAGTGGACGATACAAGATATGAAGTATAGCACAGTTGACGATACAACATATGAATATAGCACAGTGGACGATACAACATATGGAGTAAAAAAAATGCATGGTTAGAGGCTTCTGTGCGAAATCAACACCAAAAAAATTAGATTTTGCGCCAAAATCCAACCAGGCAAACGCTGGTGATATTGATGTAAGTTTCAGTTTCATAAAAAATAAGCAACACTAAGTAAATTTAAATTTGGGATAAAACACTAAAAAAAAGTGTAAAACAATTTTAAAAGATATAAAGGCAGCATTTTTTAAAAAGATTTTTATGTTAAAAAAAATCTTTTTCTTTAAGACACTCTACAAAATAAATTCACAATAAAATTTGCAAATCTAAAAAAAAAAAATATTTTTTGACTTTTGAATATTTTACATTGTAGTTGATAGAAGTAAAAGCTAGAAATATACTATACACAAGCTCAAAAGACAGCCTAACTCGGAAAACTTCTACTTTTCGTTGTTCCACAAAAGTATATAGCAACTTAAGCGTGTTTTTAAAAAAGTTTGAAAAAAATGAACTTTATGCTTAGGCAATAAACAACTAATTGTAGAAAATTTGTGAACTGCAGTGTACCCAGTTTATTTTAAGAATTTGCAGAAACGCGGAAAATTTATCAAAAAAGTTTTCTGATGAAATTCAATAGGACAATGTAGAAGATTTTAAATACTGACAAAAAAATAGATTTAAGATGAAATAAATCTAAAATTATGTTAATAGAATTTAAAGTTAATAAATTCTTATTGATAAACAAAGCACAAAGTAGTAAATTTTTTTATCAGTGTTTCAGGACTTTATTCTGAATCAACATCAACAGACAATGGAAAATTTCTAATTTGTCAGATATTTAAATATCTTGATTTATTTTGTCAGACAATTTTTGTTTTATGCGCACACTTGCGTAAATAGATATATTTGTTAGATATTAGTTTCAATAAAAACTAGTTATACGGCTGTGTAATAATATTAAGCCATCTATCAACTCATCTAGTTTTGCGAAGTTAACTTTGCTTTCACAAACGAACTAGGAGTGTACAATTTTAATGCTTTTTTGTTATCAATTCTCAATGACAATGATGCTTTTTAAAAGGTCCTCATATATGTAGCAAGAACTTAAAAAAATTAGATATTTCAACCATTCCTGTAAGTAAAAAATAGTTTTTTCATCCAATTTTACGAACAAGCTAAAGTTTCTTTAAAACTTCCAAATCTCTGTTTTACCAATCAAATAGTATTATAACGCAAATAGAGTAGCGTGGCTATAAATAAAAATGTTTAATGTAACGCAAGTAATTATTTTTATCAACACAAATTGTTATGAAACTGATATGCAGACAAATATAAAACTATAAAAATATATTCTGTGACATAAGTAAAATCGAGCACTGTTACTCGGAATATTTATTAAAAAATATTACGTGACGAGGTCACATTACATTATCCCAAAGATAAACTCAAAGAACACCGACCTACTTTGCAAAGCAAAATCTTTTTTAAATCCAATTTACTTAAAAAAATTTATATTTTTCTTTCATTTATTGCCAGCTTAACTACGCACAGATTGAGTAGTTAAGATGGCAACTTCAACGAACAAAAGTATGACAAAAATGCATTTTTTCTTTGTAAATCAATTATAAAATAATTTTTTTTTATATATAATATAGATATTACGCAAACTAGTAGGCAACTATATTGATGTCTTTGACTTTTACAACAATAACTTAAAAGTATTCTGTGGGAAAACTTTGAGTTAGTGTTATAAAATTTTGAGTATATAAACGTTCAAAGAAGGCAAAACTAATGATAATAGTTTAAATGATGAGGTATATCTTTTTGATTTTTATTCTAGAATTTATTCAAAAATAACTATATGAAGTTTTGAGAAATTTGATTAATATAAAAAATATTATATAAAGAAGTAATTTTCTTTGTTGATACACAATAATAAGATTAAAAATAGTGTCGTATATTTTTAATAAACCTTCAAACAAAATAATTGTATTGTTACCATAATTATCTAAAACGCGTAATTTTTGTATTTTATACGTCTTAAACGCGTCTTTTACCCATATATAGTGACAAGCTAGCAATATACTAGCTAGTCGCTAATTCATTTCCCACCAGGTTTAATATTTGTGTTAGAGAAATTCTTTGTAGTTATATATTTATTTAAGTAAACATGAGTTATCTAAGCACTTTAATAGCAGTAAAAAGCAGATTAATTGCAAAGATTTTGCTCGAAAACCAATATTATGGCGATCAGGGTTTGTAACATGACGACGCCTAAATAAGTTTAAGGGATGCAGGCATCATGATAATTATCAAATTAGATTAATAGTTATTCTACTTAAGCATGGTTTTATAAAAAATACCTTAACATCATGTTGACGCAGTGCCATAGCTAGTGTGTCGCATGGCTAGTGTGTCGCATGCTAGTGTGTCACATGGCTAATGTGTCGGCATGATGACGTAGTGTGTCGAAGGCGCCCGAAAAACTGTGGTTTAGCTACCATATAATAATAGTTGTTTTTAATTGCTATATTCATTATTTTTATTGACCGGATAAATTGTCTAATTGCCAAAAAAAAATATCTACGCTTTGGAAAATATCTCAACAATACATAATTAAATTGTCATCAAAAAATAAATTAATGTTATAATTTTTTATTAAGTAAATAAAAGCACTTGACTCTTCAATACAACAAGAGTTTATAATAAAAGCTTAAACATCATTTTCAATATTTATAAACAGCAATGCCGAATCAAACAATCAACAATGAAAACCGTTCAAGGATAATTGAATCTTACTTAAATGGAAACTCACCATCAGAAATTGCAAATATTCTTGGATTTAAACGAGTTACAATCTATTCGATTATTAAAAAATATAAAAATGGTTTGCCGATAGAACGGCAATTAAAAGGTGGTTCTAAAAACAAAAAATTAACGGAAGAATCCAAGGTACTAATCAAAAATTGAATTGATGATAATTGTGGAATAACTCTTAAGGAAATTAAACAAAAACTTTTTGAACAAAAATCTATTTCAATCAGTCAATCTACTATAGCAAGATGCATTGATAGTTTTAATTATACTTTGAAACGTGTTCACAATATTCCAGAGAGAAGAAATTCGGAAGACGTTATTAATGAAAGAGCTTCTTATGCAGAAAGATTCATGAACATTTTGTCTTCTATGAATGACAAAATGTTGGAAAGAGGGTCACACAAACAGTGACCAATATACGGTTAAGAAATATTTTTTAACCGTATATTGGTCAAAGAGCTGGAAAGAGGGTCACACAAACAGTGACCAATATACGGTTAAGAAATATTTCCGTCTGTTGTGCAATGAACAAAAACAAATTTTGAAATATGAAGCACAAACAAGAGCATTTAATACAGAAAGGTTTTTAGATTTTATTCGTTTAGTATTAGCACAATTAGCTGTTAATGAAGTTGTTGGAGCTATCTTAATGTTCGTTTTCATAAAACTGCTGTTGTTCATAATGAAGTAGTACGTGCTGGGCATTCTTTGATATTTTTACCTCCATATTCACCCTTTTTAAACCCTATTGAAAATATGTTTTCTGAATGGAAAGAGTTTATCAGAAGATGTTCGTCTAGGACTGAGAAGGAACTGCTTGAAAATATACAAAATAGTGCATTGAATATTACTAGCACAAACTGTAATAATTATTTTGCGCACGTACTGAGGTATATGATTGTTGTGTTCAAGAAGAGAACCAGTTATTGAAGAATAAACTTACTTTTGTGATTTTTATTTTTATTTGCGAGAATGCAATTACAATACTTTATATACGATAATTTTTTTGTTTAGATTTTAGTTTGTATCCAAACTAAAAAAATATATTATTTAAATGAATTTGGAAAGAATCTAACTGCTTTATTTGTATATTAATTTAAGTATTATTAACGCTGTCGAAATTGAATGCAAAACAGTCGAAATCAAATGCAACGGTGTCGAAATTGAATGAAACATTGTCGAAATGTACTGATACAATGTCGAAATTGAATGATACGTTGTCGAAATGAAGTGGGAAACCCTGTATTAAAAATGACTGAATTTGAAATAATTAAGGAAGCAATTATAAAAAAGTAAACCGTTTACCTTGAGAATAATTCAATAAAATAAATATTCAAGTTAAAAGTAAACGCCGTAACAGGCTTGATTAAAGGTTTGTATTTAATTAAATATGTATAAACATATGTTTAAGATTATAATAATTATTTTCGTTTTTGATCTTCTTATTTGTTTTTTCTAATACAAATGTTTTTATTGTTGTTAGAGTTGCTTGTTGTTATTGTTATTGTCGTTGTTATTTTTGTTTTTGTTGTTGTTGTTGTTGTTGTTTTAGTTGTTATTTTTGTTGTTATTGTTGGTAGTATTATTACTGCTACCACTGTAATATTATTATTATAGTTCAATTTCTCTAATTTGAATCTTCTTAGTTTGAAAACCGAATAAATGCTAAAACGCACTAAAATACAACCATAAAAGTTCATATTTACATTATTTTCCGAATTCGGTTGGAGAGTTGAAAGGAAAATATGTAACTCAAATATGTAATTCTTATTTGCAGAAAGAGAAAGCATATTGGTGGAAATTTTTAAAATGCTATTTAAAAAAAAAGGCAATTTTTAAAAAATGCTGTAAAAACTTCAGTGAAGGATCCAGTGGCGGGATGGGGTATGACGAAAATGTGGTACAAAGTACGTAAAGGTCGATATTTTGCATCAATGAAGAGAAATTATTTTTTAATAAGTAGAGATTGTCTTGCTAGAAAATGAAGAATATTTTACACGATTGACTCGTGTAATAATTCCGGGAAAACACTTTATATACTTATTTTTAATCTGACGCTTGTTGTAAACAGTTTTTTATTTCTTATAACTTTTTTACCATTTATTTTTAAAAGTGAGAAAGAAATAAAAAAGATCAAAATTAATAATCATAAAATGTATTTTGTTAGCTTTTTATAAGTGTTTACAGAGTTAATGTAAGGAAATTTTTTAGCTTCAATTTTAAAAAATAATTCATTTTGAAATCATCTTTTGAAATCAGATAGAAATTTTAATCTTTTTATGAAAACAGTTTTTACATTTTATATTTCATTTTATGGAATCTCATGGATATCTTTTAATTAAACATTTTTATTAAAATTATAAAAGTATTCTTATTTAAATGTTTATTAAAAAGTAGTTCGTTGTCACACATAATTATCTTATATATTCTTCAACATAAATTGTTTTTTTTTATTGTTATGATTGGTCGCAAGATAGTAGTTAGCTATTCGTCTGGCCAAATCGCTGTCTTTATTGTTACTAATTATTGCTAGCTTATATAGCTAGTCAGTCGCTAACTTATACTTGGCTAGCAAAACTCGTGGTCAAATCGCTGTCTTTGTCGTTACGAGTTGTCGTTAGCTAGTCGCTAGCTTATACAGCTAGCTATTCGCTAACTTATACAGCTGGCAATCTTTGCGGCCAATTCGCTGTCTTTATTGTTGCGAATGTTGCTAGCTGATTTCCCACAGGGATAGCTTCACCGGGATATTGTTTACCCAGCGCATTCAATATAGTGTAAACGCTACATTAGATCACTGAAAAAAAAAATAACACAAAAAAGCTTTAAATCAATGGAGCAGGGTGATAAGTCTTCTACTTGCTCCTGTCAGAATATAAAGATTTAATTTTTAATTTTTACAAAAAATATTGTAAAATGATTGTTTATTGACGAAATATATATATGTTATGTTAAAAAATGGTACTCATGGATTTTTTGGGGGATAACTTTCAAAATCTGTCAAAACGTAGAAAATAAGACCTTATACTAAAAAAACAAAATATAGCCATAATTCAGTGAATTTTTGAAAACTAAATTTTCTAAAAGTATATTATATATATATATATATATATATATATATATATACGTGTTCAAAAAAAGTTAAGGGAGATGGAAGATCGATTGAGACGTAATAATTTAGTAGTATAGTAGATGAAATTAATGAAAATGGTGAAAACTGGGAAGTAAGTGAACTTAAGGCAAAAAAAGTTTCTGAAGAACTATTATCTGTTAAAAATATTCTGTTCTGAAACAACGCAAATCAGGAGAGGTTGGAGGGAGAAAATGAAAATCGAACGAGCGGCTGGTAAGTTTGCAAACATATCTGATGATAAATCGCGACTGGTTAGCACAGAAAAGCAAAAATTCATTTTCATAATATTTGTCATTAATTAACGTAATTTTATTTCTATTATTACTTTTTTTAAATTAAACTGTTTTAAAAATGGAGTTTTAAAAAAAAAATTATTTTAATCACATACATACATAAATACATATATAAATATATATATATGTATTTATGTATGTATGTATGATTATATTTTTGTAAAAATTACAAAAATATAATGTATGTATGTATGTATGATTATATTTTTTGATTATATTTTTGTAAAAATTACAAAAATATAATCAAAAAAGCAAAAAGATACTCAAAACAGCTTTATTATGTTCAGTTAGTAAAAAAAACCAACGGAAACACTAAAAAAGTATAGTTAAGAATTTAATTGGAAAAAAATAGTTATAAAAAAAACTCCTAAAAAATCTTTTAATAAATGGAAAATTAGTTTATGATAAATCTATTATAGCTGAAGAACTAAATAACTACTTTTTTAATATTGGTCCAAAAATGGCTGCTAAAATTCCACCTAACTCCACTCCGTTTTGATTCAACTTATTTTCATAAGTTGAAACTTATGGACGAAATTAGTTTAAATCTTAGTGAGCGGAGAGCTGCATTTAGCAGTCTCAAAAGTAAAAAAAGTGAAAAGTTTTGATAAAATTAGTATTGATATTGTCAAATAAGTATTTGATATTATTGAACCTTCTTGATTTCATGTTTCTGATCTTTCATTTAAGACAGGTGTTGTTCCTGACAAACTAAAAATTGCCCGTAAAACACCAATTTTTAAATATTGAGATAAGTCAAATATATTATATATCTATACGACCTTGTTTTTTAAAAATACTAGAGAGAATAATGTATAATAGGCTATACTATTATCTAACTAAGAAATTCATAGTATATTGCAAGTAATTTGAATTAAAAAAAAAATTCTACTGAACACGCAGTAGTTGAACTTTCCAATCAAATATCTAACGCTTTTGATATTGACTGTTTTACATTAGGAGTTCATTGATCTGTCAAAAGCTTTTGATACGTCATAATATACGTCATAATATACTAATAAATATACGTCATAATATAATAAAAAACCCTGAAAACTTTTTTTTATTAAAATTAATCATATTCAACAAAGTATTCAACAAAGTATTCAGATAACTTTGTTCTTCTTAAATATAATTTAAAATTAACTTCCTATTAAATTAAATATCCCAGACTTTATTTGTGGAAAAATTTCCCAGATATCGTCAATAAGAATAACGTCAAAAATAACGTCAGTAAGAATAAGGCAACATTAGAACAATTTATGAATAAGTCAAAGCGATTACTGTTCAGAGATCTTAATTTATCCGACTTTAAATGTTTCTTATACAGTATGCTCAATTAAAAACAGATTTGTTTATATTAATGAAATTTAGTGATTTCATTGATATAATAAAACCTGATTTCTTGACTAATAGGTGATATAATAAAACCTGAGTGAACGCCTAGGCCAAACATGTGACTATTGGAGTTTTTGCAAATCAAAAGATAATAGCCATTAATACTGAGATCCGAAGAAGAAACAGACTAATTTAAATTAGAATAATTTAACTAAAGGGCTCTTTATATTCCCTTGACAATGCACGTAAAACATTAACAAGGACACCACCTATGCGCAACATGTTAATACTCTGATATTTTACAGTTATTGATAAAATTATTCTTTCTTAAAGAGCCACCACAAAGTTCGCGAAACATTACTACCAGCCGGCCTTAGAATCAATACCCTCATTAGGTGTTAACAAAAGCAGTTGCATAACCACTTTTAAAGAAGCACAAGCAAAAATCTATGAGTAACGTCAAGAAGATCTGGGATTATTGATTCTCGGTAGGAAGTTATGTAACACAGGTTTACATTTACGCTAGCCTAATACATAAAGAAGAGGGTGTTAGCTTTTCTGCATGTATTTAAATTAAGAACTGTAATATTAGCGGTAATATTAATTTAATTAGGGGAAAGGTGCCTATGATAGCATACTTAACTTTGAAGCTTCATTATTCAGTATCTTGATGACCAATAACAAAAGTTTTGATATGGATACATTCTTTGTTACATGTTGAACAATAATAACCTTAGGAGTTTTCATCAGTTTATATTTTTTTATTAGTTATTTTTATTTAAAAAAAAGCACAAGTATGCCATCATAAGCAACTGCTGCTCCTATGATGGCATAGGGGAGGATGGGGCTGATTAGCATCAGAGGTAACTTGACTATTTTATTTGATCAAAGAGTCTTCCCTCAGAAATGCCAGAAATAACGCGTAATTATCCTAATTAACCCATTCGTGCAGTGTAGAATTTCGCGCATGCGCATAAGAGATATTGCGTTTTATATGTTCTTTGAACCAAAAATTTTTTGTGAAGTAAAAATTTCTTTTTACTTCACAAACAAATATGTTGTTTTTATGAAAAAAAAGCTTTTTTCCACTCGTCGATATTGCACCACACCTAACTCCTCAGTATGCCATCATAGGAAGAAGTCATTTCATTTCTGCACAGTTAATAATAAAATCACAATTTTAAATATTTAAAGGGATTAAAAATACAACAACACATTCCAAAATCAATTTTTGTTGATTAAAAAAGCAACATTTGTGCATAAGGGACGTATTTTTACTAAAACTAATATAAAGTCAGTATCTAATCACTTTTTTGCCATAACCAATATTTATGAAAATATGACCGGTATGCCATCAAAGGCGCTATGCAATCATAAGCGCCTTTCCCCTAAGTAATATTGTTTAATTTATATTGAATTTAATTTAAATAAATTCAATTTATGAGTTATAAATTAAGTAATATTTTTATTTATTTTTTTTTTTAATATTTTTTTTTCATATTGTGTTTAGTTTTAATCACCTTTTTTACCATAAAAAACTTTTTAAACAATAAAAACATTTTTTTTTTTCCAAAAATTTGAGCTCTTTTTCTCTATAATCCGCATTCGGTAGCACGAGTAAATTTTAATAAATCTTCAGTAAAAAAATTTTAATTAAGTATTCAGTAAGTAATCTGTGGGACGAGTGGAGGAAGTTTGTGTACCTAAGACCGGATTTTTTCGATTCCCAAATTCAAGGCCCAAAACTTGTCTAAAAATGAAAATCTATACTAAGCACTTTGTATTGAGGTATAATGACTTAAATTATAAAAGGTATAATGACTTAAATTATAAAAGGATAATGACTTAAATTATAAAAGGTATAATGACTTAAATTATAAAAGGTATAATGACTTAAATTATAAAAGGTATAATGACTTAAATTATAAAAGGTATAATGACTTAAATTATAAAAGGTATAATGACTTAAATTATAAAAGGTATAATGACTTAAATTATAAAGGGTATAATGACTTAAATTATAAAAGTCCATCTTGTAGAAGGATTTAAAAATTAGTTACCCTATGTACAATAAGCTTTTTTTAATTGTATCTAGGGCCACTAACTATTGTACCTGGACCACTTTCTGAAAATTAAGTTTCGCTCCATAATAAATTGACAATAAAGATAGATACATAAATTTGATCAAAAATTTATTTAATCGATTGCTTTCAACAAATTTTTTTAGTGTTACTTGATCGCAACATTTAAATAAATAACAAAACTGACTGATAATTCTTAGCGAAATTAATAAATAAGAATTCGCGAAAAAATCAAAATTCAAATCTACCTTGATTTTAAACAAATTCTTTATCAGAGAAATCCACATATGGCCCTAGGTACAAGCAAACCATTTGGCTCTAGGTACAAGATATAATAGCTTTATGAAAAATGTCTATTAACAAACCCGGATTAAGAGGAAACC